CAGTGTCCGGTGCGCAGAGCCAGAGGCTTCCCGTGAATGCAGTGACCACCCGAGAGGGGTTTGCTATGGAGATACTCAAACATTCCCGCAGAAGAATAAATCAAAGGAGCAGAGTTCTGTTATTAAAGTAATAATGAGCAAAGAACAAGATGCTTCTGAGGAAACAGCTACTGAAGTCTTGCTGGGGGACTTTTCAGTGCTGGTAGGAGATGCTTTTCTCAAATCTGACTGCTGTGAAGTACTTGATACAGTCCTATTCAAAGGCAGACCAAAGGGCTTGGTGGAGAGCAGAAGTCCAAGCCTTTTAAATGTGATGTGATCACTGTTGTCCTAGAAAATTTGCTTATAACTAGAAGTGCCTGGACACTGTCCTGCCAAAAGTTGAGCTTTATTCCTCAAGGGGGAATAATGCTAACATGCAGTGCTACTGCTGGTGGCTGAAGCCTGTAGTTGCTATGAATTTCTGTACACTACTCTTCAAAGCAGTGTAGTAAAGGCTTGCTGCGTCTCTCAAGAATATGCTGATACAAAGGACGGTGCCAGGTTGGCCCATTCTGGGGAAAACAACTGCAGGTGTCTGTCCCCAGGAGGAAACCTGCATCCCCGGGGCAGCTCATCAGCTGTCAGCAGTGAGGAGCAAAAGCCGAGGACTGCATCTTCTTCTGCCCCGGGGGGAGAGAAACAGCTGCAGACAGAGGAGGGCAGGAACGGCAGCTCTTCCTTGCTTGCACACAAAGGGGTGGAGGGAGGTAGAGAGTGGAGGAAGGCCCCAGCCCCTCCGTGCTGTCTCAGCACAGTTCATGCCTTGAGGCATTTACAGCGGCACAGACTGCTAGTGGAAAGGGTACCGGGCTGAGTTCCCTCTTCAGCTCTGCTCCCTTGAGTGAGCTTGGAAACAGGCTTCTCTGTGACTCAGTTTCCCCACTTGCAATATATCCATCGTGCAAAGTATTTTATGAACTTTTGGGGAAACTGAGATATCTGGCGTTATCCAAGCCAATCAAAATCTGACTGTAAAAGAAGGTGACAGACAGGTTTTACAGTGTGATCAGCAAGCAGTCCCAGCAAACCCATTCTGTCTCAGCAGTAGCTGCCTGAGGGTATCTTATTGTAGGGTGTTGCTATTGGGAGATTGTTTTTCAGAGCACTCACAGAATTTAGTGTGCAAATGTACTATAACAAACCCATGGTAAATTCAAACATAGTTTTGCTTCAACAAATGATTTTTCAAAGTTACGAAATGAAAGGAGTTTGGTGCAGGGGAAAAAAAGAAATAGGAGTTGATTTTGCTTTTTGGCTGAATCAGAGAAAGGTCATTGCTTTCAGTGGAGTTACAATTACATTGGTGAGAGAGTCATCAGATTTGTGGACTGAAATATACACTCTGCTCTTCCTCAGGCAAAAGAAACAACCTTCACCTCTTGTATTTAATATCTTTCTGTTTTCCAAGTGCCATCATTTCTTGTATTGTTACATACATCTTGTATGTAAGCACGAGGTTAGCACTTGGTAATCTATTACAGGTTATCACATTACTACAGAGGTGTGGGTTTTTAACAAAATAGAGGTATACAGAGAAGAGTTCTATTCTAGTTGCCATGATTATTATTTTCCTCATATCTATTTCAAGTTAAAGACACAGCACATAGCCTGGATAATTTAAATAATTTTTAGGTATCTACTTTGCTGTAATCTGGGTTTGCAACATGTTAGTTTTCACTGTAGTTTAGAAATCTGTTGGACCAATATGAAAGGACTGAGAAACTGTTGAGTGTCCTAAGAGCCTAGTAATTTCTTTTTTTTTTTTTTTTTTTTTTTTTTTTTTTGGTACAGGTTTATTTATACATTCTTAAACTGGTTTTACAGTAAATGAACCATGAATAGAGGTAACTGTCTTCAGTAGCTGGTTGTCAAGCACCATATTTTTAAGTCTCTGTAAAATGCGACCTCTGAAGTAGTATATTCTTACTGCAATGAACTGGGATTTACAGATTTTACTTCCAATAATGCCAACATAAATTTACCAATCTACTTGAAGCATAGCGTCTTAATATTGAGGGCAGAGTTAAACATAAGACTGGCTTTGGAGGGGATATAAAGTTTGAAAGACTATATTTTCCTTATTGTAGGGGGATTTGCAGGTGTAAACACCATAGAGAATGTATATCCACTGCTTTTTACTGGAAAAAATATGAGACACTTCAGGGTTCCACTGACGGCTTCCAGAATCACTCATATGCTTAAATTCATCATGCTGAAATTAGTCATGTGTAAGAAATTGGTTTCCTGTGAGCATAAACTTTGTTGGGATTTATAGAGTTGTAACTAAAGCCCATGAAGGCTCTTAAGCGGTAGAAAAAATGGTGCATGTGAATATCTTCCAGTGGTCAGATGCAGTGGCTTCATTTTGGGGCCATACTAAATATGCGTTTCTGAGGGCAGAGTCTGCTTCAGTACAGTAACTGTCCCTCCTGTAAGTCCCTGGTTGAATTATTATGTGCTGCTTTCAGCAAAGACTTCTGCTTTAGCGGGCATCAGCCGGGACAGACTGCAGCAAGACGGTTGCAGGAGCATGACTTGGGTGTGCCGTAAAAGGTGGTGCAGGTGTGCATGCATGTGTTTTAAACATTCCCTCTTGGTCCAGTAAATCCATGGCTGTCTTCTCACAGGCAAGATGCAGGAAGAGTACTGATATAAGGAAAAGAAACCTTTAACTTTCCATTTCTTCACTTCCTATTTCAGTGACAGACAGTCATGCTTCTCCTCTGCACCCACTCACTCTGCCCGATTCCAGCCTCCACTCACGCTAATCATCACTTGCTTGTTCCATCTCTCTACGTACATTCTGAACACCACGTATATGAGGAGAAGCTGAGAGAGTTGGGACTCTTCAGCCTGGAGAAGGGAAGGCTCGGGGAAGGGTATCTTATCATGTATATCAATACCTGAAGGGTGCAGAGAGAACAGAACCAGGCTCTTCTCAGTGGTGCCCAGTGATAGGTCCAGAGGCAAAGCCGAAATACAGTTTACATTCACATCCTTTATTAAAATTCTAGATGCTGCTGATACCTGGGGTGAATAAATTCCTATGAACAAAGTCTCAAACTAGATAGTCAACAACTCTTAGAGGTCTTTTGGGGCAATGTCATTTACACCAATGTATAGGTTCTGAGTGGCATTCCTGGCTCTGCTGCAAATCTCAGGTGTGATCTAGGGCAGGTGACTCAAATCCCCAACATTAGTTTCCCAACCATTGACAGAAACAAATCAGGTCTTGAAAATATTGCAAGAAATACATACAACTTTTTGCTCTTTTGTTATTAAATGCAGTTTTAGGACACATTCATCTGCAACTGAGTGCATTATGCTCTGGGAGACCGGAAGGTCTCATGCAGAACTGTAGTCTAAGTGGCGAGAAAGTCTGCATGGCTGGGTGATGAAAGGTAGTCTGCTTCATTTCATTTGTGCTGAGCCTGTCTTCAAGGTAGTCCTCAAAGAGAGCCACTGGCAGAGCAGTGTGGCAGCATGCAAGCATGCAGCATATGCAAGATATGAGCCACATCTTGGTTCATGAGCAATGACAGCTAGTGGGGAAAAAAAATATTTAGAAAAATGTGATTATTAGGGCCAACACAGGTTCTCTCAGGTGACTGGAAAACAGGTTTGTCAAACAGGTTGGTGATCTCAGTCCAGTTCTTGATGGGTGAGTGAATGTCCATGTTGCTATAATTACAGTGACCCATGGACTGGATCAGCAGAGACAGAGGCTAAAGGCTCAAACAGCCTCTCTAAACTGAGGCCTTTTAGCTGTGAAGCTATCACTTCTGAATAAATTAGTCTCTAATCCAGGAAAGCGCTTCAGGAGTATTAGGAACCAAAATTATACATCCAGAGCACTTTGTCCTTCTGCATCACAGTCCTTGCACCAACTGTACTTCACATTTCTGCTATTTTTACACTACTCACTAAAAACTTGGTGGAGAAACAGCAGTCAAACATCAGGTAACACTCCAAGGAGAAGAAAAGGTGTATACACGAGTGTTCATTGGTAACTGGGTGTCAGTTAAATACTTTATTAAGCAGGCAGCATACTGCTTGGATGACATTACCAATTCTTGGAGGATTTATAATGTGCCATTGAAAACAGAGAGATTTAAACCAAAATCTTGCAAAGACTTAAACCCCACATGTTTAGCTTTACACCTCGTAGGTAGTTTCACTGAGGTCAATGAAACTATTCACTGTGGAAAGGTAAGAAGGCGTGTAAATCTCTGCAGCATTAAACATTTTGCTTGATTGTCTCCCCAGGGACTGGAAACGGGGATTGGCAGCTATCAGACATACAGGCTGAAACAGCAGTTTGTGTCTTTGAGTATTGGCTTAGTTGAAAGGCAGCGTTACAAACTGTGGAACAATCCTGGCCGTTTTTCCTAATTTGCAGTGGGTGCTGTGTGGCTCTGGACTCCTCCCTGCAGTCCCCCCAAACAACTGAGATTTGCTCACCCATAGCTAAGAAAAGTAGGTGCGTTTTGTCAAAATAAGTATTTTTAACTGCTTAGGGAAAAAAAAAAAAAGAAAAAAAAAATGGCACAGTTGAGGGGGTGTCATGTTGTACGTACGGAAGGCTTGAAACAGGACCCTCTAGCAGACCCCCGGGAGGGGGCTGCACCGCCGGTGATGCTTCTCCTCCTTCTCTTCTCCTTTTCCTCCCCCGCCGGCTGAAGGACCCGGTGGCCGCAGGCGCTTCGTAAGACGCTGCCGTGGAGGGAAGGGGCTTGCCGGGTCTGGGGGGTCCCCGGGGGCGGCGCGGGGAGACGGGCGGGGGTGCCGGGGAGGCGCCGCATGGGCGGGAGCGGCCGGGGCAGCGCCGCCGGCGTGGGGTGGTGCCGGTGCCGGTGCCGGCGCGGGGTGCGCGGCGCAGGGGAGGCGGTCCCGCGGCCCGGGCGGGCGGCAGGTGGGAGCGGAGCGGAGCGGAGCGGGCCGGCCCGCCGGCGGTGCAGCGGGGCGGGGTGGGGAAGGGAAGGGATGGGCTGCGCCCCCAGCATCCACGTCTCGCAGAGCGGCGTGATTTACTGCCGGGACTCGGACGAGTCCAATTCCCCCCACCAGACCACCACCATCTCGCAGGGCACCGCCACCCTGCACGGTCTCTTCATCAAGACAGACGCGGCCGACTCCATCCCCTCCGTCCTCGCCTACCAGAGCCGGCAGCCGCCGCCACCGCCCTCCGCCGGCCCCCGCCGCAAGGAGCGAAGGGACCCCGGCGCCTCCGCCCGGGCCAGGGCGCCCCGCTGCTGCGGCGTCGAGGCGGAGACCCAGACCAGTAACGCCGGCGGCAAGGTAAACCGCGGCCGCTCCGGGGAGGGGGGGGGGGGGGGGGGGGGGAGTGTCCCCGCCGGCCGCGGCAGGGGCAGGACGGAGCCAGAGCGTCCCCCCGCCCCCGCCGGGCAGGGAAGAGGATGCTTGGGCGGGCGGGATGCAGCTGCGAGGAGCGGTTGCCCTGGTGCCCACTGACTCACCGCAGCTGCGGCGGCCGGGCCGGGCCGGGCCGGGCTGGCACTGCCGAGGGGGGCGGGGGCCGCCTGGCTCGCAGCTCCTACACACACACACAACCAACCCCCCCCTCCCCCCCGCCGCGCCCCTGGGGCTCCCCCCGCCCCGCGCACTCAGCCTTGGGGTGGCCCCGGGGTGCCCCTGCGCCCGGGTCGCTCTTGGAGTTATAGGTGGGGCGGAGGGGGTTTGTTTCGAGCTCTGTGGCTGACGGCAGGGAGCGGGCGCCTGGGAAAGGTGTTAATATGTCGGAATAAAATCTGCCCCGATTTAGCTCTCAACAGCAGAAAATCCGGTGCTTGCTGCTGGGTTTTCTCCGTCCCTTTTTCTTTCCGCATACCCCCCTCCCCCCCCCCCAACCGCCCGCATCTGGCTAAAATGAACTGTTGCTGCTAGGCGTGGATGCTCAGCTGAGAGCCGAACCTCTCGGGTTTGCAAACACGGGCAGGAACGCCTTTTGCTGCTGCTGTAGGGCTCGGGGGTCCTCCCGGGAGAGGCGGGCAGGGGCCGCGACTGCAGGGTCATCTCGATCCAGACCTGGAAGGGTTGTGTCCCCCCTCTCAGTGACTAAGGCAGGCACTGCTGCAACCTGCTCGTCAGCCTCTTCTCTTAAGTTTAGCAGTTAAAAGAGGTGATCGCTCTGGATTTTATTTATTTATTTTAAATCAGAGTAGATTCTTCATTAATTTCCTAGAAAGTTTTCTAAAAATATGATTTTGCTTTGTTGGCCTATTCCAAAGCTTATTATCAAAACAAATGGTGTTACGATCCCAGCTGGACCTTACGTTACTTTTCTGTGGTACTAATAAAATGGGATATCATGTCACAAAGTAATTCCATGGCCTTAAATAGATCCTGCTATTTAGTTAGAATAAAATTAAGAAATTAAAATATTATATAATCTTGTTCTATAATTTTAAAAGTCCAGAAATCATCCAAGGAAAATATAAGTGAGAGAGTTCACAGAATAAAAAACACCCATCACCAGAACCCATAGTCAATTTGTTTGTTCAAATGCTGAGAAACTTGCACAACTGTCTGCGGTTACATTGACTGTTTTACTTATTCAGAAGCAGAGCCTGCAATAGGGACATAGTCTGTGCAGGACTGGAGTAAAACCCAAAATGTTATATTTCTTGGATTTGAGGAATTTTGTTTATATTTCAGAGTGGAATACTTAGGACAACTTTTTTTTTTTTTTTTTTTTTTTTCATGTGGAGGAGAGCAAAATAGAAATTCTTGCAAAATTCTTTAAGTTGAAGTTTGAAAAAAAGATTTATTTTTTTTAAGTCTTAATGCCCCTTTCAGTTCTTATGAATAGTTTATTATTTATTACATCATGTGCTCTTATAAACAAATATGTTTGTCAGCTTCCTGGTTATTAAAGTGAACATATTTCAGATGTTTTTGAACTTCATAATTGGCACTTTAATACTATTTTGGATGGTTTCAGTTCTTTTTACATTTTCAGAGTCCCAAGAACCTAAGGGAAATGATGGGGGCTTTTTATTTAAGAACTGATTCAATGTTATAGTAGAAATGTTTCCATATTTGTAAGAATGAAGATCGGTAAAATATTTTATATAATTTTTAAACTGAGTTAGAGCCTCTCTTCTTGCTGCTACTCCTGGCACAATTTCCTACAGGTTAATGTCATACCTGAGTAGTTGCCTCACCAAAGCAAGGCTGGAATATTACAGAACTATGATAGAGGCAGAATAATACTTGATACCTGGTGGGCTATAAGCAGTGGAGAAGTACGGAAATATGTTTCTCTAATAGTACATGATAACAGTATTTATTTCCATAATGTTTCAAAAAATAAAGTATTAGTTATTTCGGTACAGAAAAAGTGTCTAGTAATACCACATGGTTTTAACTACTGTAATGCTTGATTGCACATATTAGCTGTGTGGAAATCTCATTTAACTGTATTTAGGTGACAAAAAAAATACATGGGTCAAATGGCTGTTAGCACTGTTATATATTAACATAATATTCCAGCTGTTGAACTATTCAACCCACTTAAATCATGCTGCTTTGTTTGTCTTCTTTTTCTGTTCTAAACTTTCTTTAATAGTTTACACAATGAAATATTTCATTATAGACATTTGACCCTATCTTTATACAATATTTTAAAACTCATCCATACCATTATATTAAACTGGTATTAAAAGAAATCAACCTGTAATGTTTTCAACCCAATATAATTCAAATATGAAACCAAAACCAATCCCATGTCACTTAAAATATACGGTTTGCCTAAATCTTACTTTTTAAGTCCATCAAATCTGTATTCTTTGGGTGAGGACAGTGTTAGAAAGACAATTCTTTTCTTTGTCTTAATAAAAAGTTCTGAATTGTCAGAGCTTGCAGATGCGTTGATTACATCCTCTTCACACTGGTTCTGAGTAATCGTTCAGCAGTTCTTGCATGTTTGCATGCGTTTATAGATCTCAAAAGCTTAGTAACAAAATCTACGTTTACCTGATGAAGATCTTAAGTGGACTTGTTAAGTATTATAAAATGCATCTGTGCCCTAATTTGGAATAGGACCCACAGTTTCTTGTGCCCAGCCATATGCTCTCTTACTAAGTTGCCTGGGCAGAAACACTCAAGTAAAAACCAGACATACCTTGCCCACGTTCCCTCCTTAATAAAACCAAACCGTATCATGACAGCATTAATATCTCAAACCCTACATCAGCTTTATATAAAGACACAAGACACTTAGCTTACATCACTGAATCATAACACTGAGCGTGAGATGAGACTGAGTGTATAATGGCTGCTTGACCCAGTGATCAACTACTGCCAGTTCTGAAGTGCAACAGTACCAGCTGTTCAGCAAAAAGTAAACAGCTTCTTGAATACTTCCTTGGGGATTTGAAAAGATAATAAAAGTTTACCTTATTTATGTTTACAAACACATCTTTTAGTTATGGCCAAATACAAATCTTAAGCAAAAGTGTGTGCATAGAGACTGTTTTCTTGAACATCTTGAAATATAAATATGAGCTAAACTTAAAAACCACAAGAACAAGTTTCAAGGCTCTTGTTGCTAACAGGTAGCCTAGTGGGGAAAAAAAACCCAAAATCTTCTTCAGTCTTCTATTGGTTACTTTATCATATTTTTCTTATTGAAATGAGAACAGCAGGTGTAATTGATTCTTCTTATGCTGTGTTCTTCATGGAAGAAAAAAAACTATTTATGAGCCTCTTTTGAAAGTTGGCTACACTGGGAACAGGTTTTGACAGTTTTCAGGCTTTTCTAAAGCAAAATAATTATTGAAAACAAAGCTCAGAAATAAGAAGAGATACCATGGAACAGTATCTCTTAACCAGTGTTGATCTGTGTTAAGTTCCAAGGCAGAAGCATTGAGAAGGGTGAACCCCAATATGTCAAGCACCTAGCTTCTACAATTTTTTAATTTTTTTTTTTTTTTTAATCTGGGGGAACAGGGAAAAGGATGCAGCTGCCAAATACAAACAGCTATGGAGAACATTGAGAAATCCAGGTACTGAGAGAGTTGTATCAGGTCCACGGGCCCTGGAGAAATGCAACACTAGGCATTGCCCTGATTTCAAGTACAGTTCTTCTCTTTAAAGCAGTATCATGTGTAAGAAAAGCCGCTGTAGTTTGTGCATATCTTGTTTTGTTTCAAGTGTACTACTGTTTAACTGGCTGCTAGTATGTCCCAACTGTAACTTAGTGTGACGAAGGTCCATTTCACAACTTGATAGGACACCTAAGATACCAGAGTCCTCTTGAACATATTCTGGGGCTGCAAAGCTGGCAGAAAAAAAATTTGGGCAGGCCAAAAAGTGTTGAACTATGTCACAGTGTAGAGCCTTTTTAATTTAGGCTAGCTGTTCTCTGAGAGGTGCTGGCCTGAATAACTCCTACCAGAAGGAAAATTGCTAATAGAGACGTGCTTTTCTTGGACTAAGATCAGATTTTTTAAACGAATACACTAAAACGACTTTTGCAAAGGTGTGGTGCTCTATATCTGACCTTTCCACTTCTCCTTCAGATCATGCAGGAAAACCTCAACAACCACTATAGCTGTGCTCTTAAGCAATGCAGACAGGAGAAGTGTTACAGAATGGAGAAAGCCATTTCTTCAGAAAATAATAAACCTCTTGGCAAAGAAAACAGAACAGCCTGGTAGATTAAACTTACTTGGTATTGAATCACACAATATTCTGCATTTCCAAAACTGTTCTGGGTGATAGTCATTTCTATCGTTAAACATAAAATGCATCTTGCTTTTTTTTTTCCTCCCCTCCCCCTTAGTTTATATAGGGAAAAGAGAAGCACTGGAAGCTTGTAAGAGAACACTAAGCTTCAACCACTTCAGCAGTTGAGAATCAACAGGTATCTCATGACCCCTGCACCCCTTTAAGTCCTCCAGTAAAAGTCTATTTTGGAATATTTGCTTTCAGTGCCCAAACCCAAATAGTTTTGGATAAACTGAGCATTAGTAGCATCTGTATTCTATTTTGTGCCACTTGCTATATGCAAAATAAGACTCTGAGGAGGTTGATGTGGATCTTCTGAGTAATATGTAATATTCCATGATTATGCTGAATGCAGAGCAGAGGGATTTCAAATAAAACTGAGCATGCAGCTGAAGGACATAATGCAAGCTGAGAAGTTGCGCCATGTACCCTAGGGAATAGTGCATGCTCTTGGGATGCAGGAGGTAGGTTTGAATTCTTGCAGCTGAGAATGCCTGATGATCACTAGGGTGTGATACAGAAAATGGGCACATAGTTACACTTCTCTC